CTTTCCAGATCTCATATGGTGTCATATCAGTTTTAGGTCTAAGATAAACCCTGTTAACGATGTGACATGCAGTATTGATGACTTCCTCCCAGAAATGCATAGCTAGATCCTTACCATGAAGCATGACTCCTACTATTTCTTGAAGCATACGATTTTTCCTCTCAACTACCCCATTCTGTTGTAGAGTGATCGGCGAGGAGAACTCATGTTGGATTCCCTTTTCCAAGCAGAAGTTCTCAAAATTAGAGTTTTCAAACTCTTTTCCATGATCACTATGAATTCGTGATATGGTAAAATCTTTCTCATTCCTAAGCCTCTTGTACAATGAGATGATAAGATCGAACACCTCAGTTTTATCTCTCAACAACTCAATCCATGTATATCGAGAATAACGTCAACCACGACCAAGATATACCATTTACCACCAAGACTTTCGATCCTAGATGGTCCCATTAAGTCCATATGGAGTAATTCAAGTGGTTTGCTTATCAAAATCTTAGAAGTTTGTTTATCAAAAACTCTAAATTGTTTACCTAGTTGACACGGGCCACATACAGTGGTATCAAAATTTTCAAGTTTAGGTAAACTATTTACAAGTTCCTTCTTGACGAGTTTAGACAAACTTTTATAGTTCATATGACCAAACCGTTGGTGCCACAGTTCAGTTAGTAGAATCATACACTGTACACCTTTTTTGGACAAAATTAACCTCGAAATTAGCATCACATATTTGACTAATGCTTAACAAGTTGGACTTTAACCATTTCACATAAAGCACGTCTGAGATAGTAGGTAGTCCAGATATAGTAACGACACATTTACCAAGTATAGGTGCAGTAGCCCCATCTCCAAAAGTAACAACACTGCCATTCCAATCATCTAGAGAAGAGAACAAGGTATTGTCACCACACATGTCTAGAACATGCACTGTCAAGATACCACATAGAAACATTTTGAGCCTTAAGTGCAACGTGGGCAACATAACAGTTCATCTGATCATCTGACCTAGAAAAATCGTTCTTCTTAACCCAAACCTTCTTAGAAGTAGAAGTGATTCTAGTTAACTGAGTCAACATCTCAGTTAAGTGGCTAACCTGATTGGCGAGAAAGTTAACCTTACTCGAGATATCCTGATTTTTATTTCTAGTCGCGAGTTTACGACAACTAGGCCTAGTGTGTTCCAGTGCGCCACAATGGTAATAGATGGGAATAAATTGCATCCAAGCGGAAGCTACATATAATGACACTGCATTTTTAATAATTATACCACGTTTTAATTACATAAAATGTTCATAATCTTTATTCATTATCATTATTATGTTGTCAACTTTTTTCATCGCATTTTTATTTTCAAATTAATGCAAGTTGTCCCTGATGACGGTTCTTTTCCGAAAGTTTTGTTAAGATGAAATTTAAAAAAAAAAAACTTATTTGTATCTCATAGAAAATTAACATTTGGATTAACGAAACGTTAAAGATAAGTATACGACGAAAAAAATTAAAAATATAAAATAATAAAGATTAAAGACTTTTAATGAATAAAAAGTGTTATCTCTAATATATTAAATATCGCATTAAATAAGAATCATTTTTTGGACGATTCTAACTCTATTATAATTCAATTATTTCGATAATACCTTACTTTTCGTTTTTAATATATATTTAACATTCAGTTATGAATTTCACAATTTACATACATAAATAATAATAATAATAATTGGAAGTTGAAAAAAGAAACTGGCGAATATGGATTTAAAACAACAATATCTGTTTAATGTGTTTTCCTCAAAACAATAGGAAATGAAAAAAAAAATGCTATTGAGGCTTAATTTAATGATCATTTTCAAATTAGGAAGAAGGAAGTCCTTGACAAAGAAAATG